AATATACAAGAAGGCGCGCGGGTGCACGTGGTCTGTGTGGTCAGCGAGGGCGATTCACCGTTGAAGATCACCTGGCTGAAGGATGGCAGGCCATTGAATTCCACGGAGACGACCACCCATCATATCGGCGAATACGATCTCACGTTGATGATACAGAGCGCGACCACGGCCCATAATGGCAACTATACGTGCGTCGCGAGCAACGATGCCGCCGAAACGTCTCGCACGGCATCCCTGTTGGTCCACGGTACGCTGGAACGGGCACGGAAATCGATTCTCCTCGATCCGACGACATTTTCTTCCTCCCTTCTTCTTCTTTCTCTTCTTCTTTTTTGCTCCCTTAATCGCGCGAAATTTTCACACGTTTCAAACGCCTCTCTCAAGTATGAGATGATTACGGTGACACGATCGAGATTCGAGTCTTTGTTTCCTGAAAAATCGAGCCTGCGCGTGAACGATGGTTAATTAAAGTCTGTTTCGATTAACATTTACGATACAAAAAAATATATATATATATTTACCAATATATTGGTAAATATATTCATAAGTTAGGTCACCGTGATCACGGGAAGAGGCATATTCGGACGAGTACAATATCATCGGTGATTGAAAAGTTCACGGGTGACGCGGTCCGCGAAGCGCGGCGAAGCGTTTTCCGCTCGTCAATCGACAACTTTTCACCAGCCGCGCGAACCATTCACCAAAACCCTCTCTACCCCTCTCTCTACGAATCTCCCTCTCCTTTTTTTTTCTCTCTCTCTCTCTTTCACACATCTCTATCTCTACACGGTCACCAATTTCAGCCACGATCGTCTCTTATTTCCAAACCTAACCCCCCTCCCCTCAATTCCGACAACTCGGTTAGGAAATTTTCGTTCGGTTCACGGCCTGTCTTCCATTTAAAACGGGCAACGAACAGGCCGACGTATGATTTCACGCTCTATTTTCCTTCGTTTTCTCTTCGAGCCCGCGCTTTTTTCGCGACCTCTCCGCTCTATTTACCCATCTCTCTCTCTCTTTGTCGCTCGTCCTTTCCTTCTCCTCCCTCCTCCCCGTACAGCCAGGATAAATTCCACGATCGCCGTTGACGAGGGATAGCGGAATGGCCGTGAAACAGCCATGAGAAAAAACGAAGGAGAAAAAGGCGCGTCGTCGATATTAATCGTCACGCGGCACTCGACGAGCGGCAGAATCTCTCGACCGGTTGGAAACTCCCGATGTGTAAAGCACGCAAGATCAATCGTTGCCACTCTTCGTCCTCCGGGCGAGGATTCTGCCTCCCTTCTTTTTTTTTTTTTTTGCCCCCTCCTCTTTTTCTTTCCATTCTCTCTCTCTCTCTCTCTCTCTCCCTCTCTCTCTCTCTCTCTCTGTGCTCCCTCTCTGTCCTCCCTCCCCTCGTCGCTGCTCTTTTCACGCTCGTTCGCGTAACACACGCGGGCGAGCGAGCGAGCGAGCGAGCGAGTCGTGAGTCCCTCGAACTTTTTTTCTCTCGTTTTCGTCGTCTGTCGACGGGGGTGATGGGGTAGTCGGCATTAAAATCCGCTACCACCACCACCATCATCGTCCTTGGAATTCTCTCCAGACGAACGAATCAGTGGAAGCGGAACGAACGAAACTGTTGGCCGACGTACGAAACGAACGGCCTAAGGGTGATTTTAACGCGTCCTGCAATCACGAGCCGAAACAGCATCCTCGTACTGCTGTATGCGAGTACGTATCCCTGCGTGCATGCACCGATTGTCGCGGTAAATCATCGTACGATCTTTTACTCTCTCTTTCTCTCTCTCTCTTTCCTTCTTTTCTTTCTATTTCCTTTTTTTTTTTTTTTTTTTTTTTTTTTTTGGTAAGATGTATTAAGAGTCTGGATGTCCGTGACTCTACACGACAATATAGTTGCACGTGTATAGTTGCAATCTTTTTCATGCTAATACTCGAAACGAAATGGAAGATAAAAAGTTTGCAGTTTTATTTCAAGTAAAAAATCGTATCGGTGTTACGCGAGCGTTTGTACGTACACGTGTTTTCGTATCAAATCTGACTAAATCCTTTTCCCAAAGAATGACATCGATATCTCGATTCCTAGCGAAACATCGAAACAACGCCCTCAAACACGTGACACAGCTTACACCCCGAACAATTCGAACAATTTTTCGAGAGAGGAAAAATGGACGAGGAATAATTCTCGTTTCGTTTTGTTTTCTTTTCTTTTCCTTTATTTTTTTATTTTTTTTTTTTTATTTCAAACCATTAAAACGCGTATAAAGTATCACAAAATCGTCGATCTGTTACAATTCGGGACAATCGTTGTCCGTGTTTATCGTCAAACATACATAAATTCGTTTTGTTTGTTCGTTTATCGAACTGTCGCGTTTCTCGGTTGATATTCACATACATACTACATATATACATATATATATATATATACACACAGGATCGAGTATAGAAAACGTGGATCGGTGGTGTACGCGTCGTGCACCTGCATACCACAGGCCGGTGGCAACTCTTTGGGCATTACTCATGTAACATTGCGCTATCTGCCGCCAACCCCGACTACGGTTTCTCAATTATTCTCAAACAACCGCCACGTTCTGTTCTAATACCTCGAGGGCACTGAATATCCCGAGTGTATCCTTCCCTCTTTCTCTCTCCCTCTCTGGCGGAGCCCAACAAGGCGAGTTATTATTGTCGTTCTGCGGCATTACGTCCGATTTTCCAGTCGAGACCAGACCTGCCGGCTGGAGCAGTCGTGTGTCGGCAAAATATTCGAGAAACGAAATAATTTCGGTTGGTACAATGCCCCGGTCCCGCTGATTCGAGG